TAAACTAAGAAATTGAAATTACATAATCTCTGTTTGAGAGTGTTTGATTCGGGGTTCTTTTCTCTAGGTCTTCTCTTCCTTTTTATACTTCCTTGATAATCCCTTCATGACAAACCGATTGGAAACTACTTAATTGTTCTATAACTACCCACTTTCTTCATGATGACTGACTTGTCATGGAACTGCCGTCTCTAACTGTTGTCATTACTCTCGTCATTCAACCGCCTACAACTGTGATTCTTAGATCGTTGGATGTGATAAGGTTGCTCAATAACCGTTTCAATAACTGCCGCTCTGGATAACCATAATACCTCATGTTCGCTAAGATCCTGGACGATTCGAAGGTTTGGGCGAGAACAGGTTCATTCGCTGTGGGCGATTTTAAGGCACTACACTCGCTCAGATCTTGAGCGTCTTACAAGTTTGGATGATGATGGTCCCTTGTTCGTGGGCCTCCACTGCATTCATTAATGGTCATATTTGGGCCTTCATCCTGGACTTCCTAACTGGGTTTCATTCTTTGGTTTGGGTTGCACTTTTTGTATGTCAACAGGAAGATACCTATGAAATTCACAAGAAAATAATGTCACCTTTATCTTGACCAAAATAATCTAGAAAAATAGGAATCGACTTTTCAAGTAATCCCATCCACGCAGGGCTTAAGTGGAATCGACTACTCCTGGTACTTGTTTGCTGGTTTACAACCATCGATCATACTTAGCCTCCATTTGATAAATTTTTAAATGGTTTACAAATAAGAATACTAAGAGGAATAATAGTGAGCTTCACTTAAAATTGACGTTCATTTATTTATATAATTATATTATAATTATAATTATTAAATAAAATATTGATAAATTATGCAGATAGATGAGAAACATTCAACAATTATTTTGTCCTTATATAACATTGTCTTCATTTTCATTCAAATATTATAACTTGCATGTTAAATTAATATGATTGATAAAATAATTACTTAAATAGAAAGGACAATAAATTGAAAAGAAAAAGTTACTTAAAAATGATAAGGTGGGTCGAAGAAAAGAGAAATTAATTAATCATCAATCTTAAAAATCTTACTAATTACTCCTAACAATTAGGAGTTACTCACTATTCCTATATTTGTATCCACCCCACTAAATACAAGTTTCACACCTCAATTATACATTTCCCACCAAAACCAAAATTTTAAATATTAATAATAATTAATATTAT